ACTGCAGTTGTCGGGCGGCTCGGAGCAGGTTGTAGTACTCATGTTGTGTACTTGTACTGCAGTTGTCGGGCGGCTCGGAGCAGGTTGTAGTACTCATGTTGTGTACTTGTACTGCAGTTGTCGGGCGGCTCGGAGCAGGTTGTAGTACTCATGTTGTGTACTTGTACTGCAGTTGTCGGGCGGCTCGGAGCAGGTTGTAGTACTCATGTTGTGTACTTGTACTGCAGTTGTCGGGCGGCTCGGAGCAGGTTGTAGTACTCATGTTGTGTACTTGTACTGCAGTTGTCGGGCGGCTCGGAGCAGGTTGTAGTACTCATGTTGTGTACTTGTACTGCAGTTGTCGGGCGGCTCGGAGCAGGTTGTGTAGTACTCATGTTGTGTTACTTGTACTGCAGTTGTCGGGCGCTCGGAGCAGGTTGTAGTACTCATGTTGTGTACTTGTACTGCAGTTGTCGGGCGGCTCGGAGCAGGTTGTAGTACTCATGTTGTGTACTTGTACTGCAGTTGTCGGGCGGCTCGGAGCAGGTTGTAGTACTCATGTTGTGTACTTGTACTGCAGTTGTCGGGCGGCTCGGAGCAGGTTGTAGTACTCCTGGACTTCAGCACGTGTGTGTCGGGGGAGCTGAGCGTGAGGTGCGGTCAGACGGTGGAGCTGGTCGAGCGGTCAGCAGACAGACTGGGCTGGTGCCTCGTCCGGACCACAGACCAACAAACACCACAGGTACTTTTACTTTATACTTTTACTACTGATACTGCTGATACTTTCACTAATACTTCCTACTACAACAACTGGAGACGTGTGGACGGCGGCGCGACGGGCGGACGACGCGTCGGGCGGCGGTTTCACTGGGAGCAGGTGGGAGGAGACAGTTGCAGGTGGACGACGGGCGTCTGCACATCTCCAACAACAACAACAACTGACACCAAAACGAGGATCAAAACCAGATCCTGGATTCTAAAAAAGTCCCATTTTCAGGACAGAGCAGAACATTTAGAACATTTAGAACCTTTAGAACCTTTAGAACGTTTCCTGAACGTCTTTGGAACGACCTGGATCAGAACAAGTATAAGAGACAGAGACTAAAAAACGCCTATGGACCTGGTTTAGTCCTGGTTTAGTCCTGGTTTAGTCCTGGTTTAGACCTGGTTTAGTCCTGGTTTAGTCCTGGTTTAGACCTGGTTTGTCCTGGTTTAGTTTAGTCCTGTTTAGTCCTGGTTTAGTTAGTCCTGGTTTAGTCCTGGTTTAGACCTGGTTTAGTCCTGGTTTAGTCCTGGTTTAGTCCTGGTTTAGTCCTGGTTTAGACCTGGTTTAGTCCTGGTTTAGTCCTGGTTTAGTTTAGTCCTGGTTTAGTCCTGGTTTAGTCCTGGTTTAGTTTAGACCTGGTCCTGGTTTAGACCTGGTTTAGTCCTGGTTTAGTCCTGGTTTAGTCCTGGTTTAGACCTGGTTTAGTCCTGGTTTAGTCCTGGTTTAGTCCTGGTTTAGTCCTGGTTTAGTCCTGGTTTAGACCTGGTTTAGTCCTGGTTTAGTCCTGGTTTAGTCCTGGTTTAGACCTGGTTTAGACCTGGTTTAGTCCTGGTTTAGTCCTGGTTTAGACCTGGTTTAGTCCTGGTTTAGTCCTGGTTTAGTCCTGGTTTAGACCTGGTTTAGTCCTGGTTTAGTCCTGGTTTAGTCCTGGTTTAGTCCTGGTTTAGACCTGGTTTAGTCCTGTTTAGTCCTGGTTTAGACCTGGTTTAGTCCTGGTTTAGACCTGGTTTAGTCCTGGTTCAGTCCTGGTTTAGTCCTGGTTTAGACCTGGTTTAGTCCTGGTTTAGACCTGGTTTAGTCCTGGTTTAGTCCTGGTTTAGACCTGGTTTAGACCTGGTTTAGTCCTGGTTTAGTCCTGGTTTAGTCCTGGTTAGTCCTGGTTTAGACCTGGTTTAGTCCTGGTTTAGACCTGGTTTAGACCTGGTTTAGACCTGGTTTAGTCCTGGTTCAGTCCTGGTTCAGTCCTGGTTTAGTCTTGGTTTAGTCCTGGTTTAGTCCTGGTTTAGTCCTGGTTTAGACCTGGTTTAGTCCTGGTTGTGGATTTAACCAGGATTTGTAGAAGAAATTCCACACTTTCCGTTGCGTTGGGACAAGTGTGAGTCCATGTGCACAGTGCATAAAGCAGCACATATGTTTCTGTGTCCAGTGGGAAAAAGTTTTTCCAGGTGAGAGTCGCTCAATGTGGATGACGAGGCCCCGCCCCCCTCCCCCCGTACGCTGTCCTGGTTTTGACAAAACACAAATCTGGTCACACTGACCTGTATTCACCTGAGTCATGTCTTTTAATCCAACACAAGTTGAACCACATCAGCGACACAAGAGCTGGAGTTTTATCTTCACTTAGTTTATGTAAATTAGTGATGTGGTTTTAAGTTTTGTTTCTGTGAGATTTGAACAAAACTGAATTAAACACATTATAATGTCAAACAGCTGATGTGGATCTAGAGTCGTTATGTTTATATGTCGTAAAGTTGAATTTATTGATGCAGATTAGTGCAGATAGAAATAATAATGATGATCATTTTAATAGAAAAACCTTCATGATTAATCGATAATCGATCGTTAATTCTTCTGACGATCGATTAAGAACATTAAATCAAATGCCCGTCTCTACTACTGATAATACTATGAATACTTCTGTTAATACTCGTACTCTGAGTACCAGAGTAATCCTTATGGTGTTGTGTTCAGGAGGGTCTGGTGCCCATGAGCGCCCTCTGCCTGTCACACTCGCACAGCGCCCCCGACATGGAGGGTCTGGCCCCGCCCTCCACCACCTCCACGTCGTCCACCTCTCCCCCCGGCAGCACGGCGCCGTCCACGGCCAACGCGGGGTCACACGCGGGGAGCGCGGCGCCCCCTCCTGGAGGACCACACACCTGCAACAGCAACGGCTCCACAGCTCTGACCGGACACAGCGCCGGGAATTCAACCAGCAACTCCAGAGGTGAGACCCACAAAACACAAGTGTGCTCAAGAAGTGTACTCCTCACACCTTAGACCTGGTTTAGACCTGGTTTAGACCTGGTTTAGTCCTGGTTTAGACCTGGTTTAGACCTGGTTTAGACCTGGTTTAGACCTGGTGTTAGTTTAGACCTGGTTTAGTCCTGGTTTGACCTGGTTGTAGTCCTGGTTTAGACCTGGTTTAGACCTGTTTTAGACCTGGTTTAGTCCTGGTTTAGACCTGGTTTAGACCTGGTTTAGACCTGGTTTAGACCTGGTTTAGACCTGGTTTTGGTTTAGTCCTGGTTTAGACCTGGTTTAGTCCTGGGTGGTTTAGACCTGGTTTAGTCCTGGTTTAGACCTGGTTTAGACCTGGTTTAGACCTTGGTGTAGTCCTGGTTTTAGACCTGGTTTAGACCTGGTTTAGTCCTGGTTTAGACCTGGGTTTAGACCTGGTTTAGTCCTGGTTTAGACCTGGTTTAGACCTGGTGTAGTCCTGGTTTAGTCCTGGTTAGTCCTGGTTTAATCCTGGTTTAATCCTGGTTTAGTCCTGGTTTAGTCCTGTTTTAGTCCTGGTTTAGTCCTGGTTTAATCCTGGTTTATTCTTGTTTCTTTATAAAGTTTGTTTTAAATCCTTCTCTGAATTGAACATAAATAGTTTGTTTGTTCTGTGTTGTTCTGTGTTGTTCTGTGTTGTTCTGTGTTGTTCTGTGTTGTTCTGTGTTGTTCTGTGTTGTTCTGTGTTGTTCTGTGTTGTTCTGTGTTGTTCTGTGTTGTTCTGTGTTGTTCTGTGTTGTTCTGTGTTGTTCTGTGTTGTTCTGTGTTGTTCTGTGTTGTTCTGTGGTGTTCTGTGTGTTTTGTTCTGATGGTTTGTGGAGTTTGTTGAATCAGGACCAGGTCTTGTGTCTCTGGGAGTTTGTGTTTGGGTGAATCTGTCCGTCAGGTTTACAGCGTCTTTGCTCTGAAATGTTTTGACAGCAGATCTGCTCCAGGTTTTCTGTGTTTACGTCGCTTTGTGTCGCCGCCTCGTGTAAATGTTTAGTTTTTGGAGGAAGCCATGTTGGATTCTTTTCCTCGGGGGGAAACGGACCACCTGGGTCAAACAGGAAGTGACATCACACCAGACACAGGAAGTGCACGGGGTTAGAGGAACGTTTAGACCCGATCAGTTTCACTGTTGTTCAGAGATTTGATCCCGGGTTGTGGATTTAAGTTTAGAGCCGCGTTAAAACAGGCGCCAATTAAAGCTTTTTTTTTTGTCATTACGGATGTTTTTATTGTAAGTTCTCACTGTGGTTAGGGTTAGGATCCATGTGTCCTTCATTCAAACCTTTTTCAATATAAAACCAAAAATAAGAAAATGAAAAAACAACAGTTTTCTTCATTATTTGTCTCCAAAACCAAAATTTAAAAAACAGACAATGATTCGTTTTTTTTCAGTTTTTGATTTTGTGTTTAAATGAAAAATGGAAAAAACAGATAACGACCGTTTCCCGTTTACGTGACTTCAGTGACTGAACCAGGACTGATCCAAGTCCGAGACCAGACCAGGACCAGACCAGGACCAGACCAGGACCAGACCGTGACAAGACCAGGACCAGACCGGGACCAGACCAGGACCAGACCAGGACCAGACCAGGACCAGACCAGGACCAGACCAGACCAGACCAGACCAGACCAGACCAGGACCAGACCAGGACCAGACCAGGACCAGACCGGGACCAGACCGGGGACCAGACCGGGGACTGAGACTGGGACAGACCAGGACCAGAGCTTTGACTCTGAGCGTCCGCGGGGTCCGAGCCTCAGCTTCAAGCTCCGGCCCTGGGCTCTGGTCTGGTCCTGGTCTGGTCCTGGTCTGGTCTGGTCTGGTCCCGGTCTGGTCCTGGTCTGGTCCTGGTCTGGTCTCGGTCTGGTCCTGGTCTGGTCCTGGTCTGGTCCTGGTCTGGTCTCGGACTTGGATCAGTCCTGGTTCAGTCACTGAAGTCACGTAAACGAGAAACGGTCGTTATCTGTTTTTTCCATTCTTCATTTAAACACAAAATCAAAAACTGAAAAAACGAATCGTTGTCTGTTTTTTTAATTTTGGTTTTGGAGACAAATAATGAAGAAAACTGTTGTTTTTTCATTTTCTTATTTTTGTTTTTATATTGAAAAACGTTTAATGAACGAACGACACACAGATTGTGAGCGGCTCGCCTCTCCACAGGCCCGACTCTTATTCAGCCTCCTGTTTGTTTCCATGGAAATGTGGTTCTTTTGGCTGTAATATTCCACAGTGCAGCATTAGGTTGAGCAGTTAAATGAATTTTGATCACAGTTTCTATTTGTGTGTGAAATGATCTTCAAACTTACAAAATCGAGTTGAAACGATTTACGTGAAACAGGACACAGAGACTGAGGATCTGTGAGGTTCTGTGTTGGTTCTGTGTTGGTTCTGTGTTGGTTCTGTGAGGTTCTGTGAGGTTCTGTGTTGGTTCTGTGTTGGTTCTGTGTTGGTTCTGTGTTGGTTCTGTGAGGTTCTGTGTTGGTTCTGTGTTGGTTCTGTGAGGTTCTGTGAGGTTCTGTGTTGGTTCTGTGTTGGTTCTGTGTTGGTTCTGTTCAGGCTGTGCAGGACGTGGAGCCACACTTCCATGAGGTTCATTTGGTTTTCTGATATTTTATGTTGTTAGGTTCTTTTTTCAGACCTGGAGTTTAGTTTCAGACCTGGAGTTTAGTTTCAGACCCGACTCGCTCTCGCTCCTCCTCAGAGTCTCGTCTCTGTGGAGTCAGGACGACGGCGCCACCTACAGTCTTTTTACTCTCACACACCTGCGATTCTGTCCTGAGGAAGTGGGACTGCAGGTCTGAAACTGAACTCCAGGTCTGGTTCTGTGTCTCTGCGTGAGGACGTCGGTTCTGTTCTGCAGGTCTGAGTGTGGAACATAGAACCACAACAGTCACACGGTTCTAAAGTCCAAAGTGTGAGACGCTCTGACGCTTCACAAAGTTTATTTGGGATATTTTGGATATAAATAAGTTTATTAATTGAATGTTTTAAATCTAGAGATTGTAGAAGAGCTGGAAATAAAGTTTATCTGGACACATTTATATTTTTCTGTTTTATTTCATGTTCAAAGTTTATTTGATTCATTTTGTTTTATACGTCACAAAACGGACTCTAAGGTTCAGATTTGTTGCTGATATTTATTTACAATTTGAAAGTTTTGTGTAAATTATCAATAACAAAGTGTTTTGGGCTTTTTAAGTTAAATAAATGCATCTTGTAACTAAAAACAAATCATTTTAATAATCGTGTTTTCAGTATTGACCAAAATAATCGTGATCATGATTTTTTTCTATAATGGAGCAGCTCTAGTTTGGCATAAAACACATCATTATCTCCCTGGAGAATGTTCCGGAGTGTGGCTTTAACTTTCTGTTTCCATGGAAACGTGGAGGTGACGTAACACCAGAAAATGACACACGTAAAAATCTAAATTTGTTGTTCTAAAAATCTTCTGAATTATGACGAAATCCTGCAGTTGGAGGAACTTTTTAAAATCAAAAAGTCATAAGTCCTGTGTTTTATTTCCTGGTTTTATTTGGAGGTTTTATTTGGAGGTTTTATTTTGAGGTTTTATTTGGAGGTTTTATTTGGAGGTTTTATTTGGAGGTAGACTAGTGTTTGTGTTTTCGGGGACAGTAGTTTCAGTCTTTCTGGGGGGTGTAACGTGTTTCTGGTTCAGGTTGAGGGTGAGATTCCCGCCTCCTTCAGGTCAAACGTCTCATGATGAAACTTACAGCTGCGAGTCAGAGAATAAAAGTGTTTGAGTAAAATCAGGTGATGTTTGAGTCCTGCTGTTTCCTCCGGTTTTTCTCCTTAAACTCGTGTCGTGTTTTGTCTTTTAAAGTTGAAGTTAAAGATTGACTGAGTTTAGAACAGAATCCATCTGTTTAAATCACACTTCCTCTGCCCCTGAATTTACCCCCACGTCCTGTTTCCTCTAACCCCCCAACCCCCCCAACCCTCACGGTCTAGACCTGGTTTAGACCTGGTTTAGACCTGGTTTAATCCTGGTTTAGACCTGGTTTAGACCTGGTTTAATCCTGGTTTAGACCTGGTTTAGTCCTGGTTTAGACCTGGTTTAGACCTGGTTTAGACCTGGTTTAGTCCTGGTTTAGACCTGGTTTAGTCCTGCTTTAGACCTGGTTTAGTCCTGGTTTAGTCCTGGTTTAGACCTGGTTTAGTCCTGCTTTAGACCTGGTTTAGTTCTGATGTCACGATAGAACAGATCAATAATCTAAACTGACTCTGATCCACAATGAACTTTTTTTTTAAAAATGTGTCTTTATATGTGTGTGATCCCTCAGTGGTCCAGGCCTAAACCAGGTCTAAACCAGGTCTAAACCAGGTCTAAACCAGGACTAAACCAGGTCTAAACCAGGTCTAAACCAGGTCTAAACCAGGTCTAAACCAGGACTAAACCAGGACTAAACCAGGTCTAAACCAGGTCTAAACCAGGTCTAAACCAGGACTAAACCAGGACTAAACCAGGACTAAACCCGGTCCAAACCCGGTTAAAACCAGGCCTAAACCAGGTCTAAACCACGTCTAAACCCAGTCCAAACCAGGTCTAAACCAGGTCTAAACCAGGTCTAAACCAGGTCTAAACCAGGACTAAACCAGGTCTAAACCAGGTCTAAACCCGGTCTAAACCAGGTCTAAACCAGGTCTAAACCAGGTCTAAACCAGGTCTAAGTCAGGTCTAAGTCAGGTCTAAGTCAGGTCTAAGTCAGGTCTCAGACTAAACCAGGACTAAACCTGGTCTAAACCAGGACTAAACCAGGTCTAAACCAGGACTAAACCAGGTCTAAACCAGGACTAAACCAGGTCTAAACCAGGTCTAAACCAGGTCTAAACCAGGTCTAAAAGTTCTTCTCTGTCCTGAACCTGGGGCTGTTTTATTATCGATACTTGTGATTAATGAGGATCTAGTTTCGATATCAGTTTCAGTATCGATCAGTGTGATTCGTGATACTTTCCTCATCTTTATTTTGAAATCTTTTCCGTGTGTTTTAATGTTTAAACTGAGTTGGTTATTTACAGATCATGTGCACGTTTTTACTCCTCTGCTCTGTGGGGGGGTTTCCTTAAAAGGACTTCCTGTGTTAAGCCCCTCCCCCTGCAGTGACCTCACACTCTCAGTCTCAGTCTCAGTCTCAGTCTCAGTCTCTCTCAGTCTCTGGTCTCTGGTCTTTGGTCTGAGGTTTCTGGTGCAGCTCTGGTGTTTCTCGGTTTCTGTTTTGGTCGTGTTTCGGCGTCTCGGCGTCTCGGCGTCTCGGCGTCTCGGCGTCTCGGCGTCTCGGCGTCGCTGTGGACATGCGCGGGGACGGGGGCACAGGTGCATGCTGGGATTGCTCGGTGGTTCGGCGTTGGGTTTTTAAACAGAGAGTCGGAGGTAAAGGTGAGTCCGGGAGCGACCGGAGGAACAGGTTAATGAACAACTCAAGATTTCACAAGAAAAATCCAGGACAGAATGTGTTTTCTTACTTGACGTTTGTGCAGATCTGAGATTTGATCAATAACTTTACATGTGTCTTTTTCTATGTTTTATTTATTATCAGTGTTGGGAAGTTACTTAAGTTACTTAAAGTGAGTAATGTAATCTGATTACTTTGGATTATTTGATCTGTTGTAGAGAAACAAATCTTCACATAAGAAGTTTTGTCTGATAAAAGAAAATAAAAAGTCCAAACTTTACTGAACCAAATTAAAAATATTATTGATAGAAAAAGAAGAAACACGTCCACACAGCAGGATTTAGTCCTGGTTTAATCCTGTTTTAGACCTGGTTTAGTTTTGGTTTAGTCCTGGTTTAGTCCTGGTTTAGTCCTGGTTTAGTCCTGGTTTAGTCCTGGTTTAGTCCTGGTTTAGACCTTTTTAGACCTGGTTTAGACCTGTTTTAGACTTGGTTTAGTCCTGTTTTAGACCTGTTTTAGACCTGTTTTAGACCTGTTTTAGTCCTGGTTTAGTCCTGGTTTTAGACCTGTTTAGACCTGGTTTAGACCTGTTTTAGTCCTGGTTTTAGACCTGGTTTAGACCTGGTTTAGTCCTGTTTTAGACCTGTTTTAGACCTGTTTTAGACCTGGTTTAGACCTGGTTTAGTCCTGTTTTAGACCTGTTTTTAGACCTGTTTTAGACCTGGTTTAGACCTGGTTTAGACCTGTTTTAGACCTGTTTTAGACCTGGTTTAGACCTGGTTTAGACCTGTTTTAGACCTGGTTTAGACCTGGTTTAGACCTGTTTTAGACCTGTTTTAGTCCTGGTTTTAGACCTGGTTTAGACCTGGTTTAGACCTGTTTTAGACCTGTTTTAGACCTGTTTTAGACCTGGTTTAGACCTGGTTTAGACCTGGTTTAGTCCTGTTTTAGACCTGTTTTAGACCTGTTTTAGACCTGTTTTAGACCTGGTTTAGACCTGGTTTAGACCTGGTTTAGACCTGGTTTAGACCTGGTTTAGACCTGGTTTAGACCTGGTTTAGACCTGTTTTTGGTTTAGACCTGTTTTAGACCTGTTTAGACCTGGTTTAGACCTGTTTTAGACCTGGTTTAGACCTGGTTTAGACCTGTTTTAGACCTGTTTAGACCTGTTTTAGACCTGGTTTAGACCTGGTTTAGACCTGGTTTTAGACCTGTTTTAGACCTGGTTTAGACCTGGTTTAGACCTGGTTTAGACCTGGTTTAGACCTGGTTTTAGACCTGGTTTAGATCTAGTTTAGACCTGGTTTTAGACCTGGTTTAGACCTGGTTTAGACCTGGTTTAGACCTGTTTTAGACCTGGTTTTAGACCTGGTTTAGACCTGGTTTAGACCTGGTTTAGACCTGTTTTAGACCTGTTTTAGACCTGTTTAGACCTGGTTTAGACCTGGTTTAGTCCTGGTTTTAGACCTGTTTTAGACCTGTTTTAGACCTGGTTTAGACCTGGTTTAGTCCTGTTTTAGACCTGGTTTTAGACCTGTTTTAGACCTGTTTTAGACCTGGTTTAGACCT